ATGTTAAGTGGAATATAATTTCTATGTGATAAACATTTTCCAAACAATGGTTAATATAAGTATTGAACTGCTATATGAATGTCAACTTGACAAACGCAAATCCAACATGAATCGCTAGCGCCTTTCGTCGAAATTGCCTTCGTCAAGTTGACATGTATACTGCCCATGGATGCCAAATAAAAGCAGATTAATGCTTCAATAGAGGACCGGGCATCAATAATCATATCTGACAGTGTATAACCCAGAACAACATGTTTGTTTTATTTAAACTTCAAGTACCCTAGTTGCCAGGTATTTTGCACTAGTCAGAATGTGTGACTGTGTTAATCTAATATCAATGAAATTAAAGAGTCCGAAAAGTGTGAGAGTAGCCTTACTCAGGCGCATCTTACCAAATGGTTTTCTTTAGTTGTGTTCTTGATAAGTGTGTAACTGTCATGTTGTATGGGGTCATGTATATCCATTTACTCCCTTCGAGTGCTATACCACTTGAATCTGACATGATTAAACGCGACCTTATTTCACTTACTTTAGGCAGCAACGCTATGCGGTAATATTTATCAGCAAGTAATTTGAAACGATAAGATTGGTACAAGGTTTTCCTAATTAGGGACGACTGTTTATCACGTGTTTAATTAGGTTTATATTCGTTACATGAGTAGAAAGTACGAAGCTGTAACAAAGTATTGATTCTTTATTGATTTTGTATCGTATTACCGATTATGTCTGGAAAACACTTTCAGTTTTTTATGAACATAACGTCAAAAGGAAATAATTTTAGGAAAGAATTATGTTACGTGACGTACTAAATATGTAAATGGTTTACATGTATCTTACGTGTTCGTATAGAAATATCCACGTTCTGAGACATGTAAGGAGTTTTCAGCAGAATACGTACAAGGAAAAAATAAATAAAAACTTAACGGAAAGTTTCAAACAAAAACCGTGTTACTCGAGATAGCTTCAGGAAAGCTCAATGGAGTATCTTTTGATCTACAGCAGAATTTATGTACGATGCCTTAAGTTAACGATGCTACCGCGCTTACTGCCGGACAGTACAACATAAATACCGTTTCCTTTACCAATTATTTTATACTCATTTCTCGTTACACTGCTACACCCACGTTAAACGTCAAACATACGCTTCACAAGCGATGTCAATATAAAATGGTGTCACAATAACCTGAAAAGAGTTCCTCTTTTTACTGTCTTGAAGTCCTCGTGTGTTGTCATGGTTACCGATGCTCCTGAACGTTTGGGTGCTCGTAGAATGATGGAAAAGCAGTTCTTAATATCGGGTTTATATTTACTGTTCAATTGAAAACATAGGAAAGTAACATAAATGTAACAGGATATTTAATATTCAGGTTGTGTTAAGTTGATGTACTAGGAAAATTTTCATCAGATAAAGCTAAGGTTCGAATTGGTAAAGGTACTTTCAGGTTTAAGTGTACGAAGCAATCCTCTTACGTTTAGCGTATGTGCCTTTAAGAGATATCATATAAATTGACTATGTCAGGAGTTTAAGTGTATGACGTATTACTATCAGGGTAAGTAGCCATGGCCTAGCTAGATAAGGAAAGAGCTACTTAATACTTGGCCTACAATTATTTAACTGATTGTGGTGAAATGGTTCGACGTAAGGATGAACAAATATTTTGGCAACATCATGTTACCGTACGTCCAGTCATGACAGATGGACGGAAACTTCAGAACAGGTTAAGGCATCTGGACGGACAAAATTACAAATAAATTTGTTCAATAAATCCGGACAGACGAGATTTACGCCATACAAATCACATCCTGTTCTCTCTTGTTACGACGGATAACAAAAAAAAAAAGAATATTTGGATAGTGTAAGTAGTTGACCAATAAAGCTCTCCTATGTCCTTGCATTATGCAAATTGTATATGGCATCTTTAGTTTTGATTTTGTTCTCGTTTGTCGTTTCTGTGAAATATTAGGACTGATTTTGTTCTCGTTTGTCGTTTCTGTGAAATATTAGGACTGATTTTGTTCCTGTATATTATATATATAAACTTTGTTTATTTTACAACTTATACTAATCACTCTTGTTGGCCCGGATGTTAGCGCGCGGAGGGTCTTACTGTGTATGGATTTATCAAATAATTCATTATATGCTGGTAAACCTAGGGAATACTTGGGTACCGGATTGTAAGAATAATGTGACAAATCGATGTGGATTGCCCTTGTGCATCAAGGCCAGTTTTCTACTATTGTCGCCAATTTGTCATCTCTTCTAACTGTCACGTGACCCAGAGGACGGGAATCACGGTTCATAATTAGATAAATATTAATGATCTTGCATATCTGTTAAGAACTATATCTATCAAACCACTATTCCCACCATGTTTGACCAAAGGTATGGAAATTGCATCGTACAGCGGCCTTCTACGGCGCCAAAATGCAGGGTACCCAAGATGTACTATTTTAAAACCTAAATTAAATATGAATGGATCGAAGTCCCGAGAACAGGTTGGTCGAATCCTTGTCAGTTTAATGAATCGTTAAATTTTCGAGAAATACGAGTCATTATTCAATTTTATATTAATACCACTTAGTTATCAATAACTAATGCTGTAATATTCCAATCAGTCATTTTATAAATCAGTTTATTTTAGACTGTTATGCAAACTGATTTATGACCTTTTATCACATGCCTATGCAATCTTACGATAGTATTACATCATTTTGTCAGGTGTGTTTTCTGTCTGCTTGTATCACACATGTGCGATACAAGATCCTGAATCACCACAGTAGCCGGAACTACTTTTTAGGGGAATTCCCTCTACTGACACCGCTAAAAATATATCTCAGAATTATAAAAAAAACCATTAATTATACAAAGAATGTATTAAATAAAAATAAAAGAAATACATTATCTTAAATAACCACGAAGAGAATGCCATTTTTTTTCATAAAACACAAGTTTCTTATTAAAAAAAACCTGGCATTGCGTCGACCTGTGTGGTTTTGCCTATTTATCACATAATCGGACTGTTATCAAGTGAATTCGCCCGTGTAATATTTTAACATATGTCACTAGTGTAATTTACCCTGGAGCGTTTTTCATTGGCTGTGCCAGTCAGAAATCGATTGTGACGTCCTAATATGGACATTGACGTGACGTCATAAATTGTGAATGGCGCAACAAAATGGCTGTCTCCGTTTGATTAAGCCCTCAACAATTTTATGTATGGTTATGGGGTGGGGATCTCAACTGTTTCCAAGCTGTGACTCAGAAACTAGGTCCCTAGGGTTGTGGTCAGACCCCAGGATAAATTCTGATATCATGACTGCATTTGTCTTTTTTGCCCAGCATTTGTATATATAGTTTTGGGGTGGGGATCTCAACCGTTTCAAAGTTATGTCCCAGGGGTTAAGTCTGCAAGGGTGGGGCAGACCCTGGGGTCAATTCTAATATCATGACTGCATTCGTCTCTTTATGCCCAACAATTGTATATATAGTTTTGGGGTGGGGATCTTAACCATTTCGAAGTTAAGACCCAGGGGTTAAATCTCCAAGGATGGGGCAGTCCCCAAGGCCATCCTGAAAGAATATGTGCATTCATCTCTTTATACTCAGCATTTGTATATATGGTTATAGGGTGGGGATCTCAACTGTCTCCAAGCTCCAAGAAACTAGGTCCCTAGTGGTTCGATAAGACCCCAGGGTCTATTCTAATATAATGACTGCATTCGTCTCTTTATGCCCAGCATTTGTATATATAGTTTTGTGGTGTGGATCTCAACCGTTTTAAAGTTATGGCCTAGGGACTATGTCTCCAAGGGTGGGGCCAGACCCTAGGGCCATCCTGGAAGCAAATCCTGGAAGCAAATGTGCATTCTTCTCTTTATACTCAGCAATTGTATATATGGTTATATGGTGGGGATGTCCACCATTTCCAAGTAATAAACTTGTTTTGGCCCCACCCCTTAGCCCGGGGGGTCAGCCACACCATTTGTACAATTTTGAATCCCTGCCTCCCATGATTGCTTTTGATTAATTATGATTGATATCCAGAGCATAGTTCTACAGAAGAAGTCGCTTAAAGCAATATAGCCAAATTGCCCCCTTTTTGCCCCGCCCCTCAGCCCCCTGGGGGTCAGCCCCACCATTTGTACAATTTTGAATCCCCACCACCTAGGGATGCTTCCAGTCAAATTTAATTAAATTCCAATCAGTGGTTAAGAAGAAGAAGTCGGTTAAAGAAATTGTTGACGGACAGACGACGGACGCCACGGTATGGCATAAGCTCACCTGGGTCCTTCGGACCAGGTGAGCTTAAAACATTCTCATGGATATGTATATTAATTATATAATGACACCTACATGTATGTGTCGTGTAAATGTTAGTCTCAGCCTTAATAGATATCCTCTGGACAACTTAGCTAACAGTGATAACGATGTCCTTACATGTGATTAACCGCCCTACGTTTGATATGCGTGTGGCGGAGAAGCCTCTTGTTACGTCACCTTATTTTTTATTTATATTATTAATATTTAAAGGACATGTATACATACGTCTCGACTTCTGATTCATTAGATAGTTTAGGCTACATTGTATGTCGTATCTTTTCTCCTTATTTTTTTAATATTTAATTCAACACTCAAGCAAGGTGCAGGAACAATCATAAGAACTACATACGTATGCAGGCTAAGTATTTCCAGTTGTCCTTAATGTTACTTTAAAAAATAACACTCCAACAAATTTACAAAAAATGTAAATACTAAATCCAAATTTAATAAATATACAACATTTGATATAGCGCCCATAAACCACTCTAAAGCGCTTTGTTAACATAAACCAATTTGTTAAGCCTTTGTTTTCTATATTCTTCAGTATTTATATCATTGAGGGGAGTTTTCCATCGCTTGGTCGTTCACTAAATGTGAATGGTGTACAGCAAGTCAACACACTGAATAACTCAATCAAATTAACTCGTAAACTATATAATTATTTGTTAAAAGTACTTACCGACGTGGTGACATGGCCAATCATTAGCGAAGATATCGCATCCAGTACATAGGGGAAAAGTTCATAATTAAACGAATATCCAATGTGTATTTTACAACTTATGTAGCTGCAGATATTAACACACTATCTAATTATATTGTTACACAGTGTCTGCGTTATAGAACATGTGAGGGCTACGAAGGGTTACCAACACAACTTATAATAAAATATAACAATTGAGTTTTTTTTACTAATAGAAATATGTCCAGATATGATTGTTTAGTTCGATTATTTAAAGTAGAATTTTTGGAATTTTCATTACGAGTAATGTCTTTTTATCTATGAATAAAATATAAGACCCGTATAAACCCCACTGTCTGTAGTATAGTGTGTGTATAATTTGCCGGGTTAATCAGACCTGGATTGTTTCGATGTAGTGACAAGCTTAGTCCCATAGAAATATACAGACAGAGGCTCACCGCGTAAAGCTATATCTACCAGGTCACTGGAACCGTGTATTGTTTTACTTCTAGTGTTCAATAGATATTAACCGACTATAGTCAGCCACCACGAATAAATTACTTCGTGATGGCTTACGCGATTAGAAAACTATTTAAGAAACCTCTGGATATTTTACCAGCCATAGAGAACGCTAGCATTTGAACTTATGGCCCAATAAAACTCATTGAGCAGGTAAAATTATTGTTATTTTATGCATGCCTTACAAAAGATAACGAATGGCTTCATGCAAAGGAAAATTGCTTTAATATATAATTTTTCCATTTCTTTAAAACATTTCTTTTGCCATCTCGCAACAAATGTCAAGATCCTATCTTCCTTTTTACTAACTTGTTATTCACATTTGGAGGCAGCGCTATATCGACGTGTGGACATAGCCCAGCTTTACCGTAGGTATCCCACCCACTAACACAAACGGTTTCAAACTAAATACACACCAAATGCCAGTTGAACGTATGGCAACAATATAACATTTGTACGGAACTAATGACAGCTGGAGTTCTGACACAGTTCCATAAACCCTAGTTTGCAATATATCATTGGTCGTAGCCGAACACTGTTAATTTGTAATGTTATAAAGGGCCTTACAGAGAAAACTGTTAATTTGTAATGTTATAAAGGGCCTTACAGAGAAAACTGTTAATTTGTAATGTTATAAAGGGCCTTACAGGCACCGTACCCCCTTCCCTTTGTTGTGTTTATAAAAACGTTTTGAAACACTTAAATGATATATTTTTATTCGTTTGACATTTAGCACCATTCATGAGTCCAACATAAAGAAAAAGTCCACATAAGGCGGTGTAGTAGGTACTGACATTGTTTGGCTCTCTGCATCAACTTAAAGTGTTTTTTTTTAAATTAAATGTTTCCCTTTCTCGTATAAAAAGTGATATATATACGACAGTGATGACAAGAACATTAATTTTGTCATTTTACCCAGCACTACTGACAGTAAGAAAAGGTGAGCTAACACAAATGGGAATCTTGTGGTAATTGATTAAAAGTAGCCCGAGGAAGTACAGGTCAGAAAGTTATATATTCAATCTATGATGCTTTACATTTATAATCATGTTAATCATATTAAAAAAATATATAAATTCAATATAAATTAAAGAACGCCTAATTTGACTGTAATAGTAGTATAACCCATGCTTCAACAAATGTTGAACGCACGTTGACAGGCAAAATATGAGATCTTTTTTTTGTGTGAGGACAAATACAGCTCACCGAGTATTGAGTTGGGTCTATTAAAGGTTTAGTACATTGCGGAGAAAAACAACTTTGACGCACTCTTGTCCAGGGAGGATGTTCATGTTGTTCATCATCATGTTAACAGGGTTTCTGTCAAGTTGAACCCCGAGTTATTTAGACCTAGATCTGTGGCGGTGTAAACTTACAGGTAAAAGTACAGGTAGGGGAACATATCGTATTTTAGTTTGAGGCAAAACATTTTTTGCCGAATCAGTCAACCAGATTTAGCATATACAAAATTTGCAAACAGTGTTTGCGCAGAAAAATGAATCACATCTTTCTAACGTGTACGGTAAATATAAAGTAAAAGGTTTTAATTTCATCACGTCGCCTTTTCCGCATTGCGGCATCGGAGAGTTCCAAATTCGTGACGTGACGTCACTGTTGAGCCATTGTGACGTCTCGTCACATGAAATGGGGTGTAAGAAACACATTTTCTACACCTATTTCTTACCCTGAACAGCTCTATCTTACACACAGGGAAATGAGAGAAATTTCTTTCTCCCGCTCTTCACGGGTGTGTCTCCCGTTTGAGCGGGTGAAAATAAGCTTGGCATCTCCTAGGGGTAAGATAGCCTCGTGCCGGACAGTACGTGTTCAATTGTGACGTCATTAAAATGTGTCAGCGGTTATTGTGACGTCATGAAAATGTGTCATCGGTAAATGTGACGTCATCAAAAGTGAATGACGATTTTCATACCCCACATGTGTTTGTGTTTACAGCCATGACAGACTACTGTCGGTGGAGTTGTGATTGAAATAATAGGATGGGAGAAAAATAATCATCCCCTACCTTGAGAGTGTAAAAGATATCTCCACCCCTCTGGTTGCATTTTTTGGTTGTCTAACCCTCGGCAGAGCCTCAGGTTAGACAACCAAATAACATCTCCCCTCGGGTAGGAGATTTCTCTGTCACACCCTCAAGGTAGGGAAAGATTCTAATATTATCCCATACTTGTCCGTGAAAGACATGAATGGTCATGACTCTTGAAAAGATAAACCTATCTGGATAGACAGCCTACACGCGCTATGACGTCAAGACGCTATGAAGTCACTCCGACAGTGATTATCTTGATAATGGAATTATTGCCGCAAGACAAGTCGGCCAAATGACGTCAACGTTTGAAATAGTTCCGTTGTTTTGACAATTAAATTTTCGTTAATTCTGTGTTTATTATAAGATATTTTTACTGACATATTACAGTTGTTGGATTATTAAAGAAAACTATTGTTAACGTTGTGCTTTCACGTGACGTAACGTCACAATGACTCAACAGTGACGTGACATCACTTATTTTGACAAAAACAACATTTAAAAGTATCAATGGTAAAAAAAATTCCCAATCATGTGTTGTGTTCACAGTGACTCGATCTTAATGAGTGCAAATACAAAAATGAATATTACATTATCCATTATATGAATCATTTAAAATATCAAATAGAGAGTGAAATACCTGATTGATCAATGACAACGCACTAGGACTAAATCGAACACCATGGTCGACAACAACGTGAGGAAAAAATACCAAATCAAAATATACCGTTTGTAAAACCAGGAGCTTCGGAGACTTTTAATTTAATACGAATGCAACCTGACATGATGTCCACAGTAAAATAGATGAAACAATTTCGGTCTCAAATAACCTAAGAAAATAGGACGATATTTACTGGGTGATTAACACTGCGGTCTTTCAAAAGGAGACGGTCGTCGTTCCATCTCCGAAACCTTCGTATCATCGAATTGTTACCGAAAATGATTTCACCAGGTGCGCTATGGAAATATATAAAGATACTGTTTGAAGCATAGCGCTACTGCAAAACAGGAAAGCAAAACATTTTCTGCACACTGACACAAGTGGAGGTATTAGTTATGTGGCGTATGACTAATAGTCAGCACCTGATAAGACAGCACTTGCGAGGCACTCATATTGTATTGATTTTATTAACTGATTGAATGACATCTAAATCTATGCATTACCACTTGCCCCAGAGTGGATTATTTTAGCTTAATAGAATGCTTTACCAAATGGGCAGGATAAATAAATCATAAAAAATATTGATCGTGTCCGAGGTCATTTGGGATTTACGTTCAAGTAGGCGCATATTAATCAACTGGACCCAATCGTATCCAGCTTTAGTAGATTTATGAAAAGTAATGGCATTTTTCATCAAATATTGACTTTGGTATATGATGTCAAGATAGCCCTACATCCCGGGACATATTTAATATCTGTTCAGTTGTTAGGCTTGAAACAGGGTATTTGTGGTGATATCGTCTATGGCTTGATACGGGTTAGTCTTTGTCATTCTGGTAACCGATGAATAATGCCTACTCATACTTTAAATTATTAACATTCTAGCACGTAATTAACAATAGGATGGCAAGATTTGTTATTTAGTTTCATCTGGTATTCTTCACGCCAGAGTACATAAAACACGAGATAAAGTGCATCAAAATGTATACCTTTCTTTCACAGGATCATATTATATTGCCCATTAAGGACACGCGCCTGTATAAACTCGTACAATAGTTTAATTAACGGTCGTTATTAATTTATTATATAAAGTTTCCAAAAAAAATATATACTTAAAGAGTTTCTCCAAATGAAAAATATTTACGAATAAGATGGATGTTTCTTTAAGGCAGCACTCTTTTTCATCACACTTTAAAAAATCAACTTTATTTATTTTACAACAAGTATGCAAGTTATTTTAACCTATACTAATCACTCTTGTTGGCCCGGATGTTAGCGCGCGGGGGTCTTAATGTGGAAGGAAACCGAAGAACCCGAATAAAACCCATGTTGTCGGGCAGGTGACACCATACCTTATCATACGTCCGATCGGGAAATCGAACCCCAGCCGCCTTGGTGAAAGGCTAGTGCGCTATCCACTGCGCCACCCGACCACCATCAAGCTTGATCATTACCCTACGAAAAAAAATTTGCCCCCCCCCCAGGTATGACTGTATATTGTATATACAATATATTTACATTAATAGTCAAACATTGCCGACAATGCTATCGATACCAGTAGTAAATACACATGGCGTACTGTATCTTCAACAAAACTATAAAAGTAAACTCAAATCGCCTGAAAAGCCGACAGAACACCGACTTCCGTCAGTGAGATGAAACCCGTAAGGGCGGATTCATGTAGGCGCAAAACCCTTCAACCAACCAACCAACCAAGCCTGAAAAGCTCCAAGATGGGCGAAAGTACTAGCGAGATTTTGTCTTCGGTGTTTTGTTTTACTTATATTTCTACTATCACATATAGTTCACATCAATTAGGTACGGCAATAACAACTATATAGAAAAGATACAAAAGAATGAAAACCACCTACCTCTCATGTACATGCCGTACTTCCTTACTGACGTAAAATGTGAGCTACTGTT